ATAAAACAAGGGAATGCTGTTTTAACTTAATTGAGTTATTGACCCAACATACTATTTCCATTAAAGGATGGATTAGGAGAGTACATTTAGGGATTAAGTGTTATTGTATGTGTTTTTCAGTAAAGGGAAAGATAGTTTATGTTAATGTTTAATGTTCAGTTGGACATTTAGAGGAGTTTCTGTTACTGAATATTGTGGTTACCATTGTGGTTGGGACTACACTGATTTCTTTTGAATAAACTCATTTTAGGTGTGTGTAAAAATGTCTTAATTAATTACCCTTATTTAATTGAATGTGTGTTGCATCAAGGTGGTAAAGGACTTTCATCATATAAAACAAAAAAGATGATATCAAACTTAAGTAATTTTACCTTGCTGGAGAAATCAGGTTATATCTACTGACAGTTATGCTTCAGTAAAACCTTGTTTTTAAGGTTGGTTGAATTCAGTTATAATCAGTAATCTTAAATCATTTATTTTATTCCAACAAAACCAGTTATTGTAGATGTTACCACATGAAGTACATTGTCTACCCCTGGTCTAGACTAAAGAGTAAATACTCTTTTGTTTAGTCAAGTATACACCTACTCTCATTCTTCAGTTCACAGTTATGCTGCGTTAGTCAGTCAGGTCTGCTCAGAACGGAAACCAATCTCCTACTGGTTTAAGATTAAACGGAATATAATAACCTATTATTGGCCACAGTGTGTACTTGCGTTTATATACCTTTCACTCTCTGACAAATCCTTGATCAATATCATTAAATCCATATGCAGTGTTGAGCAGGTGGCCAAGAGAAGAGAGTAAGAGTGTGAGATCTGTAGCAGTTTTTATAAGACTATCTAGCACATTGCTACAGTGGCCACGTTTCTTTATGTCTATAGTGTGTGGCGCTTTTGTGACATAGAATACTGGACCCCATGAATCAAGCCTTCTAACCAATTGCAAACAGGGATAGAAAAAAATACTAGTCTTTCAGCTGGACGGCTGGACTCGGGGGCAACGTGACACATGATCCAGGGAGAATTTCTTCTGCAACTCTCTGGCACTAATGGATGGACAGGTGCCAAGCACACAGCTTTCATAGATATATATAACAACACCTTAAAGGCTGATTTATCAAACCTGCTACTTGGATCAAAACTTGTCATGTTTTTAGTCTTTGTAACGGAATAGTTTGTGACTATTACAGGTGGTGTTTGATTCTAGATTTCTGAAGCATTCATTGAGTCCAGAACCTGCCAGCTTAATATAACAGACTCAGTCAGGAAATCAGAGTCTCATTCCAATCTGTTTGGTGTCAATCCAAAAAAGCTTTTGTCCAAAAGAGCACCGATAATCTCAGGAGCTCACTTCAGCATCAACTGTTTTCTGATGGGAAATGGCTTATCCATTGAAGCTGCTTTTGAGGTAAAATGAAGGCTACTGGCACCCAGCGACCATGACAAGCTTAGTTCTGGGAATGTGTGTGTGATGTGTTAGGGGTCGTTTGTGTTAGAGACGGCTTTTTAAAACTTAACACTTAAAAAACGAGGCTCTCACACGCAAGATGCTGCGTCAAAGACGTCAGTCCAGCGGATGGTTACATATAAAAACAGTGTAGCAGAAAAACACTTCTAGCGTGAACTTAGTTGTGCAATGCTTAAAGTGGCTATATAAGAATTTTCGGTAACGCTTTAGATTACAGCCCGGAAAGTACTGTGTAATTAAGAGGAATTTACAGAGTAACTTTCGGTAATTATAGTGTACCTATAAAGTACTTGCATGTAAGTATAAGGGAACAATATGTAAAGTTTGGGGAATAAAGGGGTAACAACCAGGAGAATTAAAAAAATATTTATACTGTAAGTATTATAGAACTAAGGGGTACTTATTCTACTATTATGATACAACAATCTTACATTTGGGAGCAATTTAGCGAGAACACACACTGCGTACCTTTTTGTAATAATTGTGTACCAATACATACTGTATAGGCTTTTTTTTAAATTACAGGGTACATATCTATGCATTTATACTTTTATTTATTTATTTTTTTGATAGCAAAAGTGCAGATGTTTAAGTTTGGGCTAACATGTTTCAAGGCAAGAAAAGCTAAGACTATTGCAATTTTTTTAAATACTGGGAAATATATCTTGTTTCATGTGGTTACAGGGTAAGTGTTGCTTGTATAATAAATAAAGGTTTCCGAGTCAGCGATATAAGATTGTGTATGCATTTTTATTGTACTTACCCAGTAACTACATGGAACAAGAGGGTAACAAGCTACATGAAACAAGAGTATCTTTCCCCAATATTTAAGCAAAAGTTGCAATAGTTTTCGTGTTCAGTGCACTTTTGTTAAAAAGATTACATTTTAAAAATTACAGGGTACATATCTATGCATTTATAAAGCCTATACAGTATGTACTGGTTCACCATTATTTCAAAAAGGTACGCAGTATATGTTCTTGCTAAATTCATCACAAATGTAAGATTGTTATATCATAATAGTAGAATAAGTACCCCTTAGTTCTATAATACTTACAGTATAAATAATTTTTTTATTCTCCTGGTTGTTACCCCTTTATTCCCCAAACTTAAGATATTGTTCCCTTATACTTATATTGTAAGTACATTATAGGTACACTATAATTACCGAAGTTTACGCTGTAAAATTGCTTTAATTACGCAGTACTTTCCGGGCTGTAATCTAAAGCGTTACCGAATTTTCATGTATTAATCACTTTTTTTCTTGCCAATGTGTGAACAGTTGTAATGATACCGACGTCCTAGGTTGTCTATGAAAGCCTGTAGACTGATTTTTATGTAAAGGACCTGGGCCGGTTGTGCTGAGAAAATCAAAAGGACAAGGAGATGAAACAAATGCTTATACAATGTTCAGGATAACAATGAAAGAGCCGCTCTGTGCTGTAATGTCTATGTGTCATGCAAAGAAAAGGGATTAATTCAAACTATAGTCTCACATAGCCAGGTCAATATAGTCTATAGTCTCAAGTATACTTTATAATCAAACTAATATACAGGTTCATTTGAATGACCTCATCTGTCGACATGATGCCGATGAATCGCAGAGCTGGTGCAAACATATCCACATCACTGTGATCAGTTGCTTTCTGAACTACTGCTTTCTCACCGCTGTCATTTTTGTTATGTGTTTATTTTGTTGTTGAGAGGAAAGCGCGCAGCACATATTTACATGGGCGGCGTCTGGATGTTCGTTAACCGTATAGCTGCAAATGTATTTCCAAATTCTTTTTACTTCTAAACGAAGAAGGAAAAGAGCCTCGCCGTGAGTATATCTTGGCCTTGAATCACGGTCAGCCTCTTATACGTTACGTGTGTACGAGGAATAAGTTGCTGGCTGGCTGCAGTTCACTTAACAGCCACCGGTGTCGCTAATAACAAGGGTTTCTGAACTCTACATATAGCACCTTTAATATAGAGTGGTGCCAAAAAAGTATATATATGGACATTTCAAAATGTCTGGATGTCTTTGCACTATATAACAAAATATAAATGCTAGTGTCATTTATTGTAAAGAGCAAAAACACATTCATGTACTTTTTGGAGCTGCTGTACACCTCTGTCATAATTACCCAAGAACCTCTGAGATAAACAAAGCTGAAAAAAGGCATAAAGGACATTCAGTCTCTCTTATGTTTCAGACTGGAGCATAGGATATAGAGTAAGTTATGCAGACCACAGCAAGGCAAGAGGCCGATACCCATCTGAAACGTGAGAGGAAGGGCTGCTTCAGGAGGGTAATACTCCACCTTGACCTGCTGGTGTCACTCCACCATTCAACACAAACCCAACCATAGTGCTCACTTTACCCCAACCCATGCAAAGAGAGGCTCTGCTGAACACAGGCCCTTGTGCCGCCAACCCCCCATTACTGAAAACCCTTATGGGAGCGAGACAGGGTAAACCATAGGACACGGAGCCCGTATCACAATACAACCCCAGAGCCCCTAGTGCACTACTCCACAATCAAGAGCAACAGAGCGGACAGAAATAGATGGTTTTGAGTTCAAATGATCCTTAGATCGAGAGGTTTAAAATTGCAAATAAAGAGACGGACATTCATTTTATCAAGGCATCATGTCATGAATGCATAGTATCTGTAAAGCATGTTTGCTCCTGTTTAAGGGGATCTGAAGAGCATGGAGGATTGAGTGTCACCTGAGCTGGAGGTGTCTTTGGTAACGGTTAAGGCTGTGCTCTACTGGTAAGCCTTTAATGGAGATCACTATGACCTTGTCAGCAATAGAGAGGCTTTTGGACCATTCACCCTTTTTGCGTTTTTTCTCTTCAAATTCCCAAGACAGACTGGAAGACTTTTTGATTCACAGGGTTATGTAAAAAGCAGGGTAAATTTAACAACAATGGACAAAAAGAAAGACAATAAAGAACTGAACAAAAGAGCTTTTTTTTCTTTCTTTTTTTGCTTCTCTTTAGATCATTTTAACTAGTCCCGTGATAAATGATATATAAAATGATAATGCAAATATTGCATGTACTCTTTAATAAATATAAAGTCATAAAAGCAACTTCAATAATTACCTGCCTAAATATCACTCATTTTAAAGAAAGAATTCAGAATGCCCTAGTTAAACACATGATAAAATTACATGTATGTAAAACACCCAAAAAAATCATGCAAATGACATTTTGGCTGCAGCTCTTGGAAAGGGACCTTTTCAATCTCCTTAGGTCAGCAGACTTCACATTTTTGACATTTTGCTAAAAAGTTTAGAAATGCACCTAGAGCTAAATTAGGTAGATATACAGTAGTATAATACACATTATATATAGCAGACCTGCAGTACGTGATCAGAGTTTATCTTTTAAAATGCATTTTAATTTAAAAGTTAAATAAAAATAAGGATAATACATAACTGTAGGAAGCTGAAATGTGACTTTTGCTCTACATCACCACTGCATCCTCAGACAGAGCTGAGATCAAGTCAATGAAAGGCATCAGTAAATGTGTTTACCAGACAGCAGGCTTGTCTCGTGTCCTGTGGCTTCAGTTGTCTCCTTCCGATTGAGCTCAAAACACTGGAGACGTAGAGAGCATGGAGATGCAGATCTGTGTCTGTTTGTCTCTAGCTCACGTATACACACAGATTTTAGGCTCGAGCAAGGGGTGTGTACTACTGTTCTGGCCCAGTGCTTCACAGTTGCAGTCACCCAGACTGAACCTGAACAAAGTGCCGGGCAGTGGTGTTACCAGAACTGACCCAGAAACCTGACCCAGGCCCACAGAACACTGTGCACTCTATTCACCTGCTCGTCCTTCCCATTCCCTCCCATTTCCTCCCTTTTTCCATTCATTCTCATGTAGGGCTCAGACATTTAATCTAGTACTATGGGGGATAATAACAGTTTTGTATCCTTTCATTTGAAAAAGTTCCATCTGAACTGTGGGGAAATTATATTTTCACACATCAGGCACAAAGGGCCGTCACCAATGTATGGAAGCTTGTTTCTGCCACCGAATAAAACATTTTAAAAGATAATTGTGACTTTTTATCTCACAATTGCAAGTTTATATCTAGCAATTCTGACTTTATATCTCGCAATTCTGAATTGCGAGATGTAAACTCCCAATTGTGAGATAAAAAGTCGCAATTATCTTTTAAAATGTTTTATTTTACACCAAGCTTTGACACCACTGCTCCCCCTCAACATTGTGTTTTTCAAAGGCCGTTTCTGAAAACATCCCAGTTCTTGCATGGCCAGCATACTCACCGGACACGCATACTCACCCATTGAGCATGTTTGGGATGCTCTAGATCGGCGTATACAACAGCGTGTTCCAGTTATCCAGCAACTTCGCACAGCCATTGAAGAGGAAGAGTAAAACTGCACATTTTAGAGTGGCCTTTTATTGTGGCCAGCCTAAGGCACACCTGTGCAATAATCATACTGTCTAATCAGCATCTTGTTATGCCACACCTGTGAGGTCGATGTATTATCTCGGCAAAGGAGAAGTGCTCACTAACACAAAAATACTGTGAACAATATTTGAGAAAAATAGGCCTTTTGTGTACATAGAAAAAGTCTTAGATCTTTGAGTTCAGCTCATGAAAAATGGGGGCAAAAACAAAAAAGTTGCGTTTATAATTTTGTTCAGTGTATTTTGAAGGTCACTACATTAAGATTTCTCAATCTTCTTTAGTATCCTTTCAAGTAATATGTATGATGTAAGTGTACACTTCCTGGACAGTATTTCAGATAGTTTAGTGTACTTACAAGTATATATTTGATTGGCTTGACTGGATGTCTGTTTTATTAACTCACTGGCGGATTCTTTCGGAATTCTAGGTTCCATTAGAAAAGTGAAAAGAGCAAGGGTTGCATTATTAATTCACCAGCTAAACCATATTTCATTTATATAAATTACTGTAAGCAGTGGAAATTAAAAACAATTTTGAACTACCCTTACAAAAAATGAGTATACTTATTTTACTTATTAAATAAGTTCATTTTATAAAGTATACTTCAGTAAAGTTCAAGTATATTTTTAAGTATACTAAATCAATGTACTAATAGTAAACTTGTAAGTGTACTATTTCAATACTACTTGTCTCACAAGACTGAAGATGATGAAGACGAAGGTACACAGGATCCGATATGAAGTGATTTAATAATACAATAAACTCAGGAACTGAAAGAAAGTGTTACAGACTTTAAGGTTAACACACACAACATGCAAACATCAACCGTCAACTGAAGACTGAACACAAAGGAAGTAAATACACAGAGGTAACAAACTAAATGATGTGCAGCTGTGGTGGAAGATTAGTAGAACAGATGAGTGGCGGGAAACAAAGACAAAGAAACACGTAACTGATGAAAACAAACTCAAAGTCCATGAAAGTGAAACTAAAGATGAATGAGTCCAGATAACTGTGACAGAACGCCTCTTTCCAGTAGGCGGGACCTTGCGCCTTGGTAGCAGAGGTGAGGGAGGGATGGAGGGGGTCGAGGCGATGACACAGGGAAGACAGGAGATGAGGGGATGGTGCAATACGGACGACAAGACCCCAGCGGCCATGATGAAGGGCGTCCGACGGCACAGACCCAGAGCCCAGAGACAACAGCCCATGGTGGAGACGAGGGAGGGAGGAGCCAAGGTGGAGTAATGGCTGACGTCAACTGGGGGACGAGCAACATCGCTGGCACAGGAGGCCTTAGGTGATGCCGCGGGGACAATCGTCTGAGGTGGAGTCAGACTGCCTTAGGACTGAGGCGATGCCGGTGTGATTGAGGATCAAGGTGTATACGAAGGGAAGGAGGAGCCCGCTGCAGCCGCAGGGGTGGAAAAACAGCGCAGCGGAAGATCCGCAAGTCCATGGCGGAGGTGGTGTGATGACTGACCCGGTAGAGTCGAAAGGGCAAGGGTGTCTGGTGGAGCTGAAGTTGGGAGGAGCCAAGGCCGAGCCGACAGTTTAATGGTGGTTAAAGGACCTGAGGCTCGACGTGACTGCTTGGCAGAAACAAGAAACAGTGGTGATAAAACAGAAATAGGATGGGATAGGGTGGGAGACGATACCTCTGTGCTGAAGTCCACCAGCCAGTCCTCAGTCTCTATTTCCACCAGTATACCTTGGGCTCTGTCTGACACGTCGCGGCGGTTGGTAGCTCTCCATCTGCGGGGGCTCACACAATTCCTCCGTGGCCGATGGTGGTAAAACGGGCTCTGGGTGACACCGGATGATAGTGAACGAGGTGGATTATGGAATCCACTGCTGCTTCAATGTATATCTAATGAGTGATTATAATCAAGGAATTAATCAATATTTTTCCTTCTAAATATCAAATGAGTTGAATGACTCTAGGCTTGTGATATTTTACTTTGTTATAAAGTTACCAGTGTGATAACTGAAGTGTTCTTTTCATGTATTCTCTAATTCTCTAATTCTGTATTTGTAATCTGAATGCAGTAACAGTGCTTGCTCATTTAGCCCGGCTTCCAGAAATGAAGTATGGACTTGTTTAAACGTGTCAATACATACATCTGTTTTTCTAGGGTACCCTGACAGCTATGGTCACTGGGGTCATTGGAACCAATGGTTTGAGTGACCATTTCGTAGTTAAAACTTTACTTTACTGTGACTAAAGTGTCCTCTCCTTGAGAGAAAGAACGTATTATCTTGATGTTTTGAGACGACTCTCCTGTTTATAGTTAGAGCCTGGCCAAATCCAACCTTTGGAAAAGCTGTGTGTCGGTGTGTGTGTTAGTCTTTTTGGTTACAGGTTAAGGAACCACTGGCATTATTGGAGATTGACTGAGTTGTTGTTCTGGACAGGCTGGTGCCCAGCAACCCAAATCTGCTACCTGGAAGGTCACGGCGTGGCCTACGAACTCCGTTTGAGTCTTGAAGTGGACTTCTGCTGATGAAACTGCAAACTATCTTCAGTAAAACTTTTCTTTAATTTATTATAATTCTGACTCCGGGTCTTCATTCTTCATATCTGGTTCTGGGTCTTTGACTGTAAATCCCCTTACAATAGCGTCCCTCCAGTTCAGCCGAGAGGTGTCTGGGAGCCAGGTCTACACTCCTTCTAGAACTCTGAAATCTAGTGATCACTGTCTACTCATTGTGCCTAGATCTAGACTTGAAAATGAAGCGATCTCGCTTTTGTGACTGCGGGCCCAAAACTTTGGAACATTCTACCTTTCTTTGTGTAAGAAAAATATCCATATTTATAACTTTATCAACTAAAATAACTAGCTTCCGACAGATGGCCTACGCAAGTCAACTGGCGCCACAAGAGTAACTCCTGATGCGATGTAGGATGTAGGAGTAGCGTAAGCTTTGACGCCTATCGTTGTTCAAACAAACAGAGCTGGGCAACAAGCTCAAGCTCCTTTGATATTTCTCTTTAAAAATTATAATTTTAGACTTCTAGTTTCGTGACTGTTGTTTTGTTTTGCTTTATCCTCTGCGCTTCAATGTTCGTCAATGCGTCATGTGTCAGGTCAAGGGTTACTCTTTCGCCGTAATCGATGTGTACAGCCAATGAGTGCGTTTCATTTTTGGGTGAACTAACCCTTTAAGTATACTTTAATAATATATTTCTATATCCCTTTCATGCATGAATTATGATAACCTCAGTCAAGATTTTTTTTCCTACGTGTTTTTATTGCTCTTAGAGCATTAAAAACAAGATTTTATTTTTTATTTTATTTTTACAAATTTTTCAAAGAGATTTTCAGATGTCCACTTGAGTGGACAGCATGCGTTTATGGTTTAAACTGAAGAGATACTGCATTAAACATAATGCAATAACCAAACAGATATAGTGATAAACTAATTAATAAAATTATATCAAATCATGTGAAAACTATTAAATATATACAAAAAATATAAATGTGAAATATTGCAAAGGCAATTGAACGTCATACAAGTTGAACTTCGCGTGAGGACGTGATTCCATCAGAAATCTCTACAGCCTTTCAAGGTACAACTATACAACAACTCAGATGCTCCCTCCAGTGTGCCAGAGTATGTCAATTTACCCTTATTAGCTGATAATTCTGATTATGTTAGAGATGGACACATTTCTAGCATAGCCCTCCTCTGAGAAAACCTAGCGATACATTTTTTTCAATCTCATCTGAAATGAGCAGTGTTGGGGTAACGCATTATAAGTAACATGCATAACCAGTGATGGGAAAAACGGCGTATTATAAATAACGCCGTTACTAACGGCATTACTTTTTCCAGTAACGAGTAATCTAATTGATTACTCTTCTCATCTTAATAACGCTGTTACCGTTACTGCCAAAAAATGCGGTGCGTTACTATAACTGATGAAGCTGTTTTTTTTTTCATCAGACCAACTAGATCTCTGAGCGAGAGGCAAATACTTTTTTTACTGTTCTTCCTTGGTTAGTGGGCAGAGCACGAGACAAGCGCATAAATGCTGACGACTGAGGTAGAGTAAAATGTCATTGTAAGCCAATCAGAGGTAGAGTTGGGCGGGTGTTCGAAAGCACGCATAGTAGTAGGCATTCGGCACTTTTGACTCAGCTCACTGAAAAGAGCCGGCTCTTTTGGCTCACAAACGGCTCTTTAAATGACTTTGACTATAATATTTAAAAAAAAAAATTACATAATTATTTAATTTCTATAGGCTAAATTTGTAAAAATAGAGTCGGCTCTTCAGATATGCGAGCCAGCTCCCGACGTTCACCTTAAAGAGCCGGCTCTTAGAGTCGCCTCATTCGCGAATCGCGAACGACCCATCAAAAGCTCATTCGCGAACGAGTCGATCCATCATCACTAACGGCTAACGCTCATGAATTGCGAACGACCCATCATAACGCATAGTCGGACAGGACAGGACACACAATGAACAACACAAGCAAGCCAGTCAGTCAACGAGAGACAGGTATGGCGACGAGCTTAACAAGCTTAATTTAATTTTGCCCAGTTGTGGCCTGTTGAGGGGCAATAAATATCAAAAGTTCCAAAACATCTATTGTGTTATTTGCATTGATCCACTATATAAACATATATTTGCATTTGATTGGAGGCTAGTCTCACTTTGTCCCACAGCAACATTTTTTTTTTTTGATGTGTGTACAATGTTTCATGTTTCTGTTAATAATGTATTGTATTAAGTGTCCATTTCATTATAATATTCAGATTTATCATAAATAATTGAACATGTATTGTAAGTTCCGTTAAAGAGGGGTAGAGGTGGGGTCACATTTGAGCATTTAAAATTTAATTTTACTTGAAAGTAACGCAATAGTTACTTTCTTAAGTAACTAGTTACTTTTAAAATTTGTAACTGAGTAACTAATTTAGTTACTTTTTGGAAGTAGTAACTAGTAACTGTAACTAATTACTTTTTAAAAGTAACTTGCCCAACACTGTGCATAACGCAATCAAAAAATACTTTTTTGATGTTACAAGTAACGTAATGTGTTACAAGTAACGTGTATTTATTAAGTAATTAATTACAAGTAATGTGCATTACGTAATCAGATTACTTTTTTGATGTTACAAGTAATGTTACAAGTAATGTCCATTACGTAATCAGATTTGTTTTAATGTTACAAGTAATGTATTACAAGTAACATGCATTACGAAATCAGATTACTTTTTGATCTAACAAGTAAAGTAATTAATTACAAGTAACATGCATTACGTTATCAGATTACTTTTTGATCTAACAAGTAAAGTAATTAATTACAAGTAATGTGCATTACGTAATCAGATTACTTTTGATGTTACGAGTAAAGAAGGGCATTACAAGTAAAGTGCATTACGAAATCAGATTACTTTTTCATCTAACAAGTAAAGTAATGCATTACAAGTCACATACATTATGTAATCACATTACTTTTTTTTATGTGAAAAAAGTTACTGCAGATTAAGTATTTTCAAAAACAGTGTTCACAGTATAAGTATGAATTCTAGCTGAAATATAGCCATTGATGCATGAGGTCCACTATTGTGGAAAGATGATTAATCAGATTTTTCTCCCAATCTAAAATCATCTAAAAATGACTCATTAGATATTGCTTGATGCTGCAATATTTTTTTACCTACAAGAGTCTCCTAGGATAGAAGGAATGGGTGGATATTCCAGAGCAACTTGGCATTTCTGAAATTTTTTTTGGGGGGGGGGGGGGGGGGGGGGGCATCTTGGTTTGGAGGGGGAAAGAAATCGACACACAACGGCTTGCCACTTGGTTGCAATGTATAGGATGATGCTCCAGGATCCACTGTAGAGGTTGATGTCCAACTATGCCATCAAAACCCGTGCAAATTCAAGAAAATGCTTTTTTAATAGCTGTCCACTGTAGTGACCTCTAAGCATTACAGGGATATTATATTTGTTTGTTTTTAAACAACAACAACAAAAATTCCAGTTCAAGCATTATTTGGTAACACTTTATAATAAGCATACAGTAATAAGTACATACAAATGAATTTGCAAACTATTAGTTTAATGTTAATTCATAGTTTATATATTGTACTCTCTACATTGTTAATATATTAACAGGCTGTATACAAATAGTGAGTTCATCATTCATTGCCACTGTAATTATTAAAAATTTAAAGCAAATTCCTAAATACACTACTAGTGGACAAGCCTACACAAAAATTCAGATACTCAGAATTAGGAACATATCTGTTTTCTTTATAAATCAATATTTTCAAACAATGTAAGTTTATAAGACAGTATGTAAAACTATGTGGAAAAAAAGTATTTCAGCAAGTGTGGCAAAAGTGAATTGGTAATTCAGTGCCCTGATGCCTAAGATTTCACCACTAGAGGGAAGTGTTCACAGTTCACAAGCAGTCCGTATTGAGCAAGAGCAATCTGAAAGGGTCTGTCACTGTGTATTGCTTGAGATGCATGTTCGAACTCTATTTAAACACTACACTCTTTAATGGCAGAAAGCTTTTGTTGTCAATGTACTTCATGAATGCTTATAAAAAGAAAGTACACTTAAGTATATTGAATGTGTACTTGATGTGAATTAATCTTAAAAAGCACTCAGGTTATACAATTATATAATATTTATATAGATTAAATGATTTGCATTGGTACCTTAGTGTAATGTAAGAATACACATTAATGAATGTATGTCTTTAAAATTATATGTACATTTTTAACATGTGCGGAATTATTTTATGTAAACTAGAGATTTGATAAGGGATGGATCACTATCAAGCCAATCTCAGTGTTTTTTTGTGTTGAAGTCATTGGGGTCCAATTCTATTTGAACACCAACATTCTTCTAATTATCTTCTTTTGTATTCTGCAGAAGTAAAAAAAGGGCATACAGGTTTGAAATGGCATGAAAATGAGTAAATAAATAGTCATTTCAGCAGAGCAGTGGTTCCCAAACTACTTCAGCCAGGCCCCCCTTTTGTAGAGAAAAATATCTTTAAGACACGAGAGATAATTTGGGAACCAGGGTCAGATACAATGTCCTCGGGTAGGCCAAAGGGACGGAAGGCGTGCTGGAAGAGTACTTCTGCTGCTTCAAAATGCTGTGGGTAGGCCCTTTAGGGGGACATGTTTGCAGGTTTTGAAGACACAGGGTGGAAGATCTGTCATGAAGTCGGTACCGAGATGGGACCAGGGACATTGAGGAATGGGTAGTGGTATCAGCTTACCTTCAGGTAGCCTGCGTGGTGTATTGGTGATGGTACAGCCTGAGCAACTTTGACATATCGGGAGATGTCCTGGGTCATGGATGGCCACCAGTACCGTTGACTGAGGAGCGAGAGGGTTCGCTGACTACCTGGGTGTCCAGAGCCCCGAGAGGTGTGAGCTGAGTCCATGAGGGGCAAGTGGTAGGCCGATGGAACATAGATTCGCTCCTCAGGACCTCCTAGCTAGGGATGGGAATTGATAAGAATTTAACGATTCCGATTCCATTATCGATATTGCTTATCGATCCGATTCCTTATCGATTCTCTTATCGATTCTCATTGGGTGAGGGAATAAGTACAAATTTGTTTGTTTGTTTGAACTCGCTTTAATATCTGATCAGAAGCACAGAGTATACACAAATTATGTGTAGCAACCTCAGAACAAACCTAAAAGTAGGTGAGCTACTTCTCAAAGTAAAGTTCAGGGAACCATAGCCTAGGCACGAGGCAGTGTTTCTCAACCAGTATGCCATGGCATTCTAGTGTGTGCCTTGAAAGATTTTCAAGAATAGTGCCTTAGGATTAGGAAATTGTTAATTTTCACATTCATTGGTCCAGACAAAAAAGATATAAAAAACTGCCATTTATGTGCCATAAAAACTAAAAACACAGACTGAAAACAGTCAAGGAAGAGCTTGTGCCTTTTGGAATATTAACAGTGCTCATTTGCATTCAACCTGAAACAAAATTCAACTGACATAAAAATACAAAGAAGTCTTCTGTAAAGACCACAACTATCAACTTTACTAAAATAAATTAACAATTAACAATTTAAAAATTGGCAAATGAACAATTTTTGTGCAGAAAAATTATCATGTTTGCCCTAGTCTCGCGTAGCCAGACCTTCAGACTGACGGCTGAAGGTCTGGAACTCATAGCAGCTTTCTTTGGCCAAGGCCCGCCCATAAGGCCGTTTGACCGACATGTCAAACAACCAATTACAGTTCGTTTCGTTCAGCGTCACGTGGAAATGTCCCCACAACAACAGACCGGCGTGCAACAAGTCAGTCAGCATAGAAAATCAAAGGAGGAGAAGAAAACCGAACACAATACTGAATCGGCCAGCTGCGATGTCAGCGTCTGTTGTTTCATGTTTGCCCGCAAACGCGGCTGATATCCCCTTCACAGTTAGGTATTTCACTTGATCTTCCATAATAGATCATAGCTGTCAACATTGAACATTGAATATAAGGGAGATTTCCCGGAATCCATCCCCAAAATAAGGGAATTTTTTTACACGATTCTTACCCACCACAAACTTTAAAAATAAAGCACTAATCATTAAAAGTCTAAAGAGTTTATAACTACAAATGAGTGAGAGAGAAAGAGACAGTGTGTGTGTGTATTAGAGAAAGTGTGTCATTTTTTAAACATTTTTTATCAGAGAATGTTTAAATACTAATATCAGCTTACGAGGGAAACGGTACGTGGTGCTTCGGGGGCTGCTGGAGATGATTAGGGAGAGGTCTGTGCTCCTTTACCGATCAAAGCGCGCGCTGACACGGAGTATAATTGTTTATACTTGACGCGTCCGCACGAGCGCGGCAAAGATTACGCGTTGGGTGCGCAAGACCGGCAAGATTTCGCTTGGCTGTGTGCACAGCTTTTTTTGTAACAGCGCGCGCGGCGCCGCATCCGAGGATGAACGACTTCAAGCCGAATCTGCCCGAGCATGTACGTCCCACACAATCAGAGCGTAAAAATACGGGATATTTTACGGGAAAATAATAAAACGGGAAGACAGCGGGAAAAGAGCTAAAATACGTGAGAAACCCGGAAAAAACGGGAGGGTTGACAGCTATGTAATAGATAGGAGGGGACACACAACTAGTAAAGTTGGATCTGCTGGGAATCCTTATAAATGCTGACAAAGGGTCGGCCAGGCTTGGAAAATAATACTCTTCCCAAATCCCGTCGGCAAACAGGCTAAAATATCTCTTTTTGTCTCCACTAAGTGCCTCAAACAAAACTCCTGGACATCTCTTAAAGAGTCTATGCCGTGAACCTCGCATACTTTTGAGAATCCTACGTTTAGCTGATCTTGATAAATGCTCATTGTCACTCATGTAAACACAACAGTTTTTCTTCCGCAATCACACGTCTGCGCTTTGTTTCCCGGCAGACCGAAAATAAACGCGACACTCGCACCCCCCGGAAATCCGATCAAATTCAACCAATCAGATGACGACTTCGACATTCCTGAAGTGTTTCCAGTTAAGTGTACCATATGCATCAGACGTTTAGCCAACGTTCCGTGGGCGTGACGTCTGAGGCTGAGACTATGTTTGCCCTCTCAGGAAGGAAACGAGATCTTTCTGGACTTAGGGTGTCTCCAGCAGTGGAGAACACCCTTTCAGAAGGGGTGGAGGACGCTTGGACACAGAGATACTTCTCAGCTAGAGCTGACAACACTGGCAATGTGTCACTCTTCTTCCACCACCAGAAACTGGCACTGTCTTTGGTTGGAATGGGAGGAAGACTTCTATAAAGCTGGATTTCTTGATCCACTCTCTGGGCTGTGGAGACAGGGGGCTGCTGCTGCGTGGAAAGCAGCTTGCTGTCCTCTTGTTCGAAAAGTTCCTCTAGGGCTGTCCTCTTTTTCTGCTTTACAGGTGGCATCTGAAATAATCACATAACCACAAGCTTTAGTTTTAAATGAAATAGTGTAACAATCCCTACCATCTATCATCATTCATCACAATTAGCTACAATAAACTTACGTAGTCCTCCTCTTCTTCTCCATTCTCTTCTTCTGCCTGCCCCTGTGTCTCTCTTGGCTCTGACAGCTTGAGAAGCAATTTACAGTGTAAGAACCACAGAGCAAGAAGAAAAGGTCTCACAACAGATATATGTTAAAGGCATTGTCAAATTCAAATACCTTCTCAACTGCCTCTGTGTTTGCTGCCACTGCTGATGCCCTGACCCTCTCCCAGATTTCATCCCTGTCCATTTTAGATTTAAATCTGGGATCTAACACAGTGGCTTCCTCCAGGAATGCCTGGATATCATCATTCATAAGTTTAAAATGGAGGACAACCACACAAATTTACAAGAAAATGTGAATGACAATAAATAACCATTAGTGTATATGATTAATTGTCGTATAGTAATTAATTAATCATTACATGTCAGTGACTGTACCTGGTAACGTTTGGAAAGATCATTCCAGATGTTCTCCTTAACGCTCCTGACGAATGCAGAGTTGTCTCCCTGCACTGTGTAATGTTTGCGCAGTTTCTGAAGGATGGGCAATATCTGGCCACAGGTTGGACTTTTTTCACTGGAGACAGCAAGTGTGGATGTGTAATGCATCCTCATCAGCAGCACAAACTCCTCTGCTTTCCTCAGGTCATCATTGCCCATTCTGGCCAGTCTGCAACATAAACAAAATAAAAAATATATATTGGCCAAACAAAACCCTTTTAATGGCTATAGTCAACCAATAAGTAATTTTAATTTTTTTCAAACATTATTTACTTCTCCTTCTCCATGGGCCTTCTAAGCCGTTGGTCTATAGCTGCAGCTTGGATAGCAGGAAACTGTTCACAAAATCTCTCCATCATCAAAAACAGAGAGTTCCATCTCGTCCTCACATCTAAAAGGAGCATGTGCTGGGGAAGCTCTGTAGATACACACACACACACACACGCACAAGATTATGAGATTACATTAAACAATGTTATATTACTATTACTTAGTAATTTTTTATTTATCCAAATCTGTTTTATTTATATTTATATGTTACAATTTGTATGTTGTTAGCTTGCAATTAAAGTACAGTATTTAAACAGAAGGCATATTACTACTTACTGAGGAGTTGTTGCTTTTCCTTCAGGACTACTTTAGCCATGTGGGATCTCTTCATCCATACGATCACAGAACGAATCCTTGCTGCCCAGTTGGAAACTGTATTGCAGTTGTACAGCTTCTGAGCTCCAAGGTTAAGTGTGTGCGCAAAACATGTAAACTTGATGATATTTAGTTTTCACAGCTACATCCATATTTGCTGCGTTATCCACAGTTGCTGCCACCACCTTCTCTTTCACTCTAAACTCCTCCAGGATCCCCTCAATCTCCTCGGCCACAGCTATCCCTGTTTGAGCTTTGTACACTGCTCTGGTTTGGAGGACTTTTTCTTTACTCTGACCTTCCCTAACATAGTGCAATGTTACAGTGAGGTAGTGGTCTTGACTGAAACTAGTCCAACCATCTGCTGTGATGGCTGCATGTGTGACATGTTTCAGCTCTGTGATCAGATTGCTCTTTTCAACCCCATACCAAGCAGGAATCAGATGATTTGTTAAACTCTCTCTGTTTGGGGCATAGTATTTTGGGTTGAGAGTCTTTATCATCTCGCTACAGAAAAGATATGGTAGGACTAGGAATTAATAAAACAGAACTATACTGAAATAAAAACATGCAAATTTTGGTCATGCATTTGTTATTTGCATTTGAAAAGACATGTTGGACAAAATACAGCAAATTAACCTACCGAAATGCAGAGGCATCTACTGTGGCAAACGGGTGCAAACCCTTTACCAAAAACTTAGTCACTGCTCGGTGACATTCGTTTATCCTCGCCTCTGTCATTTTATTTTTTCCCTGCCTCAGTAAACGGAGTTGCTAGACGTGCACGAGAGATACTTGCTGCAGCCTCTGAGCCAGCCTCCGAGCCAGCCAGACTCTGGCCGTCATCATCATCATCTGACAATGGAAATAATCTGTATAGTAAAAGTTTACACAATGAAATAGTGCTTACATTAACTAAGTAGACAGGGCCTGTCCTGCCTGGAGAGTTTAAGGTTACCCTCGGCATTAATAACAGATGGCGTCCCGATTGCTCCGCTGCTGCAGCTGCTTGACTCACTTGTTGTGTCGCTAAGTAGTGTTTCAAAAACGCGACAGTCCTGCAAATGATTTGCATGCTGTGTGGCCAAATGTTTCTGCATGTTGGAGGTATTTCCCCCCTTTGAAGAAATTTAAATTTTACATGTGTTGCAAGTGACAGTATCGTCGTTTTTTCGCATGAAATGTAGCCAAACTTTAGAGCGCTTCTGCCTTGATGCCATTTTGCCGCGTTCTGAATCAAAACAACGCAGCGTGTGTGTGACGTCATGACGCATTTGCAACGAGCAGAACCGATAAGCGGAATCGTTAAGCAGGCATGCTAACGGTTCCCATCCCTACTCCTGGCAGAGCAGGTTCAGCATGAGTGGCTTGGCGAATTTGATCGTCGATGGACCATTGAATCGGACTAACTATCATGGGTTGAGGATCACTGGACTCAGGTTCGGGGTGATACAACAGTGAGAGGACATCAGCCTTGCAATTCTTGTGTCCAGGTCGTTAGGTGACTACTAAGTCAAATCTTGTGAAGAATAAGGCCCATCTGGCTTGGTGTGGGTTGAGGCGTTTAGCTTCACGAAGATATTCTTTGGTCAGTGATTACCTCAAAGCAGTGATTTGCTCCCTCCAGCCAATCTCTCCATTCTTCGAGATCGAGCTTGATAGCGAGGAGCTCTCGGTTGCCGATGTTATAGTTCTACTTCACCGGGGACAGCTTTTTGGAGAAGAAGGCACATGGATGGAGACGTTGGAGATTCCCCTGCCACTGTGAGAGGACCTCTGTGAGGTGAGAGGTGAACTGTAGCTCTGAATGAAACGACGATAGAAATTGGCGAATCCCAGGAATCTTTGAAGTTCTTTGACGGTGATGGGTTGTGGCCATTTTTGGATGGTTTCTACTTTCCTCTGGTCCATTTGTATGCCTCGTTGGTCAATGACATACCCTAAAAACTGGACAGAGGTGGTGTGGAACTCGCACTTCTCCAGCTTGAGATATGCTCTCTCAGGCGTTGGAGAACTTGCTTCACATGTTAGCGGTGTTCGGCCGGGGTCCGGGAGTATATCAGTTTGTCATCGATGTAGATGATGACGAACCGCTGGATGAACTCCCGGAGTACCTCATTCATGAACAGCAATTCTCGTTATGAACAGCAACAAAGACGATTTTTTGGTTAATTACATCCTTATTCTGGGAAAATGTTATATACATACATCTGTAGCGTCTGGACCAATCAGAGACACAAATTATTAATTATATTTAATGAATAATCCAACAAACTCACTCTCCCAACAAAGTTCTATGAAACCTCCCCCACAAATTAAGTCAACACTGGCAGAACCCATTTTCCTGTTACATGACACCTTAAGACTGATAACAGTTTTACGACCCAAAAGAATGTGCAAGGAATTGTCTCCTAATTTTTTTTCTGAGAAGAAGAAATGAACCCTTTTAATCCTATATATAACCATGTGATAGATGTCTTAACATGTATATAATTTCCCATCTCGTTATTTTCCTTTTATGTGGTTTGGCCTATGCATTCATTCTCTCTTCTAAACTATTTTGGTCTGAAACATGACTTGCATACTATGGTTAACCAAAATCATATGTGTAGCATGTTTAGTCTGTATAAAATCCAATCTTCGTCCCCCATTTGTTAATTTACATTACATTTTGCTAACTTTATGACGCATTAGTGTTATAAGAATCTTGAAGATTCTTTTCGTAAACACCCAATGAAATTAAACATTTAAATGCCCTGCTAGAAGACAATGGGTCGTAAAAATTCCCTCCAAAGGGGATGGCTTTTGATTGGCTCACACACCTCCAGAGGGTGTAACGTATTCACACTTTAAAAAGTCTCTTAGCTCTCTCTTAGCTCTTCGCTTGTCCTCTCTGGTCCTCTTGCTCTCTTACTCTCTTGGTCCTGTCATGATCCGGCCTTCTTGTCCTTGATTTCCTCTGGTCTTGAGGCTGGATCATGACAGACCCGTGTTTTGTGTACAAGCGCATGGCCAATTGCTTGGGCCATGTGCTTGTGTTGTCTCCGTTACGTGACCCCGCCCCCTTGTTATCCTCATCTCGTCATTATTGTCTAGTCAGTTTCACCTGTCCTTGTCTAGTCAGCTTCACCTGTCTTTGTCATTAGTGTCTCCCTATTTAATCCCCTTGTGTTTGCTGTCCTGTGTCGGTACATTGTCAACCTGTGCGTGTTACTCTTTGTGAGAGTCCTGTGAGTACTTAGTCTGAATATTGTATTAAGAATTGTGAGTTTATGTAGCTGTTTGTTTTCTTCATCTTGTCTTTATCAGTCAGTATCTAGTCCTAGTTTATTTCCTGTCTTATGCCGAGTTCAGACTGCACGATTTTAGCCCCGATTTTGGCTCGCCGACAGGTTTTGAGAAATCGCCGACAAATGCCCGAAATCACAGGCAAATCGGTGCTCGTTCACGCGAGTGACAATCACGCAGTGTGAATGAGCAAAGACACGATCTGAGAGAATCGCCGACGAGTCGCCGATGCCCGTGAGATATTTGGCATGCTAAATATCTGGACCTGTCGGCGATTCACAATCCTGCTGTGTGAATGTGTTCTGACTGAAAACTACATCGGCGATGACCGACAGCCAATGAGAGAGCAAGATACAGGACAGCAGGCTGTTCGGGGAGGAGTTATAGACCAGAATATCAGTATTTTAATAGATAGGCTTATATTTACAATTATATCAAACAGAAACAAAGCACAAACATTTGCATGACCAGCAGCAACAGCAGGACATTTGCAAAATTATTTATTTACCCCCAACTCTCTTTGCAAAACACAGTCCTTGCTCCCCTCCTGCATAAACTGTTTATAAATTTTTTTTTTTCATTTTCGCTACAAATCAGTGCACAGACAATTTGTAGGCTATCATTTTTAATAACAAATTCAGTGTCGCGCGAGAACTCCGGTCTCACGCGCGCGTGATCTTCCATTATTTCCTATCACTTCTCGCGTTTGTTTGGTTGTGAAACGTAGTTTGCGGACCAGGCAGAAGTTGTCGGCGTTTCTTTCTTTTGTAAAGTCATGCAGTGTGAAACCTCCTGTCGCCGATCCATCGTGCAGTGTGAACACAGCAGCAACTGAATGTTACCCCAGATAATCATGCAGTGTGAAAACAACAGTGACCCGATTATTTTGAAAATCGTGCAGTCTGAACTCGGCATTAGTCTAGTTGTACTGCCCCATCTGTCCTGTTTTGCCCCCTCGTGGGTTTTTGTTTTCTGTTTTGTGACTCAATAAATCCCTGTTAGTCTGCATATCGTCTGCGTTTGGGTTCGCTCTTCAACCACATGACAGGTCCTTCTTGAGAAGTCCTAACGTGAAGATGAGGCTGAACTAGAAGTCCCTCAAGGACTCCCAAGCTTGCGCCAGGCTGCGCCTTGTCTTTCCATTCACCAAAGATCCTCTGACTTCCACTGATTCTCTCTCATCAAGACCACATCAGCAAAGATCAACTGGAGCCTCAACAAATTGCATCAGGACAGTTTAATGCAAATGGACGAGACATAAGTATCCTTACCCCCTTTCAAGAAGGGCATGTTTGTTACGTTTCTACGAGGGAGGACTCAAATGCAGAAATGTGTTAACAGGTTTTATTGAAAGACAGTTGACAAGACGAGATGGTGGTGGGTGAGGAGGTGAATAGTCCAAACAGTAGGCAGGGGTGAGGCACAAAGACAGGCAGGCTGAGAGAGCGCTGAATCCAACCCAGGATGATAGTAGGAGGGAGGGTAGACACAGAAGGCCAGCAAGATACTGTCTTGCTGCTTGGCTGATGGTAAAAGCGGCCAGGGAAGCTCAGCTTGGAGACAAACTGGGAAGACAAAAGACACAGCAAGCACAAGAAACGACGAGACTAGACGAGGTGAGATTTAAGTTAGCTCTGACTAGAAATTACTAGACTGTCAAACAAGCAATGTAGCACAACATCTATACAGAAGAACAACATCTAACGAACTGGCAACACATGAGGGAAAGAGCACACATTTAAAGGGAGCTAAGAACAAGAGGAACAGGTGAGCACACTCAGACAAGGAACAGGTGACCACACTCAGGTAAACGAGGACTCAAACAAGGGAGCAGAGAACATGAGGAACAGGTGACAACACTCAGACAAACGAGGACTCAACTAGACAAGAGGGTGTGGTACAGGGAAACAAGGAGGCAGGAACAGAGCACATGGCCAACACAAACAAAACCATACGTTCAAGCACAACACAAACATAGAGACATGAAACAAAGACAACACAGACAAAGCTGCCAGAGCAAGACCCTGACAGTACCCCCCATCTAATGGACGCCTCCAAAACAGGCATAGAAGTCCAAGGAGGCAACAACTGGGGAGGCGGGTGGGGCGTAAACATAGAAGTCCCAAACTGACCAGGAAGCACAGAGGGAGGGATGGGGCGGGTGGGAACAGAACCGGGTAAAAAGTTCAAGGTTGACAAAGGAGGTGCCGGCTTAGGGGAACCATAACCAGGAAACGCAGAGGGTAAGATGGGAGGAATGGGAACTTGATAGGAGGTACTCTTGGACACAGGAACTGGCCTCACTGGTCTGGACTTCCAACTGGGCTCGACAGACTTGGGGGCGAAGACATGACTAGCAGGATTGGTGAAGGTCTTGGAATCAGGTACTGGGACTGACTCGTTAGCGCCCTCCTGGGCTGCACTTCCGTGCTCGGGGACTGACTTGTTAGCGCCCTCCTGGGCAGCACTTGTGTGCTCTGGAA